ATAGGGGTGATGTTGGGTGGTAAGTAGAGAACCTTTATGAATTTTAACTCCTCGAGGATGTCATCTTCCAGGTTTGGTGGATGAGCAGGGGCATTGTCGAGGATGAGAAGGGCTTGCACGGGTAGGTTATTTTCGTGTAGATACCAGTGTAACATTAGAGCCGAAAACCAGGTTGACCCACTCCACAAAGAACTTTCTGGTGACCCTTGCCTTCGGGTTCGACCTACACATAATTTCCAATTTTTCTTTAAAAATCTTATGTGATTTAAATGCTCTGGGGTTTTCCGAATGGTACACGAGCAGAAGCTTGATTTTGCTGTCGCCACTCGCATTGGCTCACAGTGCTAGAGTCAATCTGTCCTTCATAGGTTTGTGGCCTGGCATCATCTTCTCCTCTGCCGTTGTATATGTTCTATTCGTTGTATATGTTCTAAATCTTTTTCTAGAGCAGCCCTGTCTCATCACAGTTGAAGACTTGCTGAGAGATGTAGCCTTGGGCTTTTATTAGATCGGAAAATGTTTTAATGTAATCCTCAGCTGCCTTCATATCTGAACTTGTTGCCTCACCATGTCAGACAACGGAGTGAATACCGCTGCTCTTTTTAAAATCAAACCAGCCCCTGCTGGCTTTAAATGACTCTTCCGATGCCTCGTCGATGGAAGTCTGCGAGGTTTGCTTCAGAAAATCGCCGTAGAACGCTCTTGCAAATGAGCTGCTTTTCTGTCACCCACACCATCAACAGTTTGTCCGTATTTTCATGAAGGCAGGTTCACAGCTTGGAAATTATCGTAAGGCCCTTAGCCGGCGTTACACTCTTTATCGACTCGTTCGGTTTAAGTACAGAACATATCATGGACGTACTACGGCCATACTGCCTCGACAAATCAACAACTCGAACACCTTGCTCATGTTTTTCTATAATTTCACGTTTTAATTTAATATTCATCATCTTTTTCTTAGCACTTGACTTTTTACAAACTTTCTTCCGCTCCATGGTTATAAAAATAAATAAACTACAACTGTAAATATAAACGCAACACAAAACGCGAACACAACTGCACAACTTATCACAGGTGCTACTACCGAACCGAACCGAACCGAACCGAACCGAACCGAACCGAACCGGACTCGTATCTCGAATTTCGCTCGTGACTAAAAGCAAAAAATCACTTGCTCGTCGGTTCGTATATCGAAAAACTCGTATGTTGGGGCACTCGTATGTCGTTGAACGACGATTGATGAACTTCGTACGAATATCGAACGTGAAATTGCAGYAGTACAGGCCGATTTATGCTTGAAAGCCGTCAAAAATTCGTTCAGCGTCTGGACTTCTGCAAGTGTGCCCCCACCTTGCAAAGGAAATCGAGTTCCATACATAATGGCATCGAAAGTACATTTCTGGTTTTATTTAAAAAAACTATTTTAGCGCTTCTATTCAAAAACCCGTTATAAGAGAGCAGAGAAACTCCAATAATGTGGAGTATTTCCTCCCAAGAACAAGTCATGTGATATATAAATATAAATTTATAATAGCCGGCAACCCTAATGAATTAGAGTTGCCGAAATTCAGTCTTACTCTCTCCTAAATATTTCATAACTATTTTTAAGGATATTTGTCTATGTGTTTATGCGTTTCATTGAGCCTGGAGTGTGARAATCTAATTGAGTAAATTTCTCCACAAAATTAGTCGCTTTTACCTTGGAGCAAACTGTGGCTAAAATKCCTCTAATTCTCATACATACTTGTAAAAGTATAAATGTACAAAGTTAGTGTTTATAAATGCCGGTGCACGAAGCACAAGGACACTGCTTTCACTTGACTGCTTGTTGCCTACATATGTATATATGTTGTTCTTTTGTATATTTATTGCAATTTATTATATTCACTTAGTTGTTGCTGTTATAGTAGGAATGTGGCAAGAAAAACAGCAATGCGCTAATTTCATTAGCAAAATCCTAAATCTGCGACACCAACATAAATGCAAGCTAAAGTTGTGCAACAACTGCCGCAAAGCGCGCCGCCATCGGCCTAAAGTTGAGACAATAAAGTTGGCTAAAGTATCACCTACATACACATACGTACATACACATGCGCAAAGTGRAATTAGTATAAATGCGCAAGGATTTTGCTGGGATTTTTGCGGCAGCGCTTGGTGATAGCGAGCACGTAGATTGTGAACGAAAATGGCCAACAAGCCATGGCAATGAGATAAACTAATGCTGCTGGTCAAGTATAAATATTTCATTGAATTAAATTTGCTCCAATAACTTTCTCTAAACAGAACGAGAAGTACACAACACACAACACACATCCATATATACATATGGAATGGCACCACCGTGTAAATAAAATGGCACAGTGTAATATTTGTAGCAACGAAATTCATTGAAATTATTTTAAGAGTATAATGTGGTCCAAGGACTAGGTGGCAACATCACCCTCATATACAAAATTAAGAGACAGTCACAAAATCTTATTATTTGATTCGATAACATGTTCSAACTCACACATTGAATATAAAAGGTGAATTGCAAAGTACCAGGCCGGTAATATAATAAAATAATTTTTTTTTTTGGCAAAGTCGTTAGTCACCCTCCAAATAATTGATACCATTTTTGTAGTACGATTTTTTACTTTTTAAATRACTTTCAGTTTCGGCGATCACCTCTTCGTTCGAYGAAAATTTCCTACCCTGCGAGCAATATTTTGAGATCTGAGAACAGGAAATATTCRCTGGGGGCMAGATCTGGAGAATTYRKTGGATGCGRATCAAATCGAAGMSCAGTTCATGGAATTTTACCATCGCTTGTGACAYGGTTCATTTTCTAGGTGATGCAGGACTGTCTTTTTCTTCAAATGCGKCCCTTTTCGGCGATTTCGTCCCTCAAATGGTACAAATACAAATAGTCTCTGTTGATGGTTGTTCTTTTTTTCAAATTAGTAATAACTACTCCAGGCGCTTTCCAAAATACAGACGCCATAATTTCGCCAGTTGGACTTTTCCACGCTTCGGAGCGGGTTCATCGTGTATGGTCCACTTTGATGACTGCCGACTGAACTTCGGAGTCATATTTCATCCATTGCCGCATAGTATAACGACACAAATATTTACTAAGCTTTAACATCTCTACACACTGCTCCGAACCATCAATTCGTCATTGTTTTTAATCAAAAGTGAGCTCCCGCGCCACTCACTCTTCACGTAGTCTTCTCATGCCCAAATATTTGTGAATGAATGATGTACACTAGGGCTCTTCAAATTATTGGAATAATCTGAAAACCGATTGCTAAAAATCCGGTTTCGAAATGTTAAGACTTTTSAAATAGTTGCTCTATTGTCAATATTTCAATAAAAGAAAATTGTTTGAAATCCAAGCAGCCTTGATTTTTCCTTGTTTTAAATTTGTGAATATGGCATTTGTGTGTGTATATATATACTGCTTGTGGACTTTTTCGATGTTACCATCGGTAATCACCACTTTTGGGCGTTCACTTCGTTCACCGTCTTCGGTGTTAATTCGTCGTCACATCCAAACAAATCAATCTTTGATGGTTGATTTTGATTTTCTTGGGGCAGTGTCCGGATAATTGTTATCAAGCCAAGTTTTTGCTTAAAATGAATGAAAGGAAATGAAGAAATTTGGACCGATGACCCGGATGATTAGCCAATAACTTAAACCAAACCGTTGCTTTTTCTGGATGAAATGACAGCTCTTGAATCTCTTCAGGTTGTTCTTCGACCCAAATTCGGCAATTTAGCTTGTTTACATAATCGACTGCATCGCTGAAGCAAATTTGGAATTCTTCTTAGTATTAGGTTGTCAAATAAGTCTTGCGGTATTTTCACTAGTTGGCGCTGAGAGCGCGCATTTCTAGTTTCATTCGTCGCCTCGGGTCATGCTATACCTTTTTGGAAAGCTCATTTCACGCGCTAACACGTGTTTGATTGATTGTCGTTTCATTTAAGTCGCTCGTGAGTTTTAGCGTCGCAAACATGCAGCAGAATAAAGAGAAAATACGGAATATATTATACAGTACGACTACGATAAAGGCAAAAATGCATCTCAAGCCGCCAATAAAATTTGTGCAGTTTATGGACCCGATACAGTTTCCATTTCCACCGCACAACGATGTTTTCAACGTTTTCGTTCTGGTGTAAAGGTGGACGGAAGGCCTGTCGTSGAAATTTGCGATAAAATCGCTGAATTGGTCGAAAGAGACCGGCATAGTAGCAGCCATAGCATCGGTCAAGAGCTGGGCATGAGTCATCAAACCGTTATAAAATAAAAAATAAAACAAT